TGAGCGCCCCGAGCTCGGCGGCGCGTCCCCGGCCCGCGCCTGCTCTGCTCCCACACACCGCTTCTGCCTCTGCTCTTCCCCTCTGTGTGCACCGCTGACACTTGAGCCGCTTGCGCGTTGTTTTTATTTTAGGTTCTATTTTGTGGGTGATGAAGATTTGCTTGAAATCATTGGGAACAGTAAAAATGTGGCGAAGTTACAGAAGCATTTCAAGAAAATGTTTGCAGGAGTCTCAAGCATCATCCTAAACGAGGATAACTCTGTCGTCCTGGGCATCTCATCCCGGGAAGGGGAGGAGGTAGGTGGATGTCGGTTGGACCTGGGAACCGCCTCTCTGGCTTTGCCCACTTAATTCTTGCGTGTTGTTTGTTCCATTCAGGTCATGTTCAAAACTCCCGTGTCCATTACCGAGCACCCCAAAATCAACGAGTGGCTCACGCTGGTGGAGAAGGAAATGAGAGTCACCTTGGCCAAGCTCCTGGCCGAGTCTGTCACGGAAGTGGAGGTTTTTGGTAAAGCGACTTCAATTGACCCGAACACCTACATCACTTGGATCGATAAATACCAGGTAGTGGATGGCGACGCGGGGCTGGGCTGAGCCGTGCGCAGCGGGGCTGGGGCTGACCCGGGCGCGCTGTCTTTTTCAGGCCCAGCTTGTGGTCTTGTCGGCCCAGATAGCCTGGTCTGAAAATGTGGAGACGGCGCTGGGCAGCATGGGGGGCAGTGGGGACGCTGCGCCCCTGCACTCGGTGCTGAGCAACGTGGAGGTCACCCTCAACGTGCTGGCCGACTCGGTCCTCATGGAGCAGCCCCCGCTGCGCAGGCGCAAGCTGGAGCACTTGGTGAGTCCTGCCCCCGGGCCCTCCTCGCACCTGCCCCTCCGGCTCGCGCGGGGCGAGAAATCGGGCTCGAACACCGCCTCGTGGTGCCGGGGAGGGAAGCGGCGGCCCTCGGTTGCCGGGCGGGGGGTGGCCACCCTTCAGCAGAGGGGCGGTCTGGCACCTCCTCAGCGTCACCCAGCTTTCTGGCAAGGACTCCGTGGCGGGCCTTGGCCAGGGCATGGCACGCTGTACCAGGCCCTCCCCAAAGGGCCATCTCAGGGCAGGGAGCGCCCAGCCAGCCCCGAGCCGGACGCTCCGCAGAGCAGCTGTGCTCTCGCTCGAGCCTGTCCCGCGTCGGCCGTTGCTGCTCACGGTCCCCGGGTTGTGCTCCAGCTCTCGATTCTGTCGTTCCCTGTGTGACTGACTGGCCCCACGGCTAGTGTGATGCCCCAGGGACACACGTGCACGATCAGCCCCTGATGTGCCGCTTCCTCAGATTACAGAGCTGGTTCACCAGCGAGATGTGACGAGGTCCTTGATCAGGAGCAGGATCGACAGCGCCAAGTCCTTCGAGTGGCTCAGCCAGATGCGGTTCTACTTCGACCCGAAGCAGACCGACGTGCTGCAGCAGCTGTCGATCCAGATGGCCAACGCCAAGTTCAACTATGGCTTCGAGTACCTGGGTGTTCAGGACAAGCTGGTCCAGACCCCTCTCACCGACCGCTGCTACCTGACCATGACACAGGCCTTGGAGGCCAGGCTCGGGGGGTCCCCCTTCGGTGAGTGGCTCCAGGCCCTGGCAGGCGCGGTCGGGCGCTCTGTGGGACGTCCGGGTTTCGGGGAGCGACGCAGCTGTTGCCCAGTCACGTGGTGAGCCTGCCTGCAAGCCTCGCCTGAGCTTAGTGCACGGGCTCTGGTTTTACCGTGCAGTGCCAAGGTGTGTTCTTGGACGGGCAGTGGACTCAGGTGCTCTTGTCGCCCAACAGGGCCTGCGGGGACAGGGAAAACGGAGTCCGTCAAAGCTCTTGGCCACCAGCTGGGCCGGTTTGTTTTAGTTTTCAACTGCGATGAGACCTTTGATTTTCAGGTGAGTGATCTGGGAGCCTGGGAGAGCCGGGGGCCCTGAGCCAACCCCCTCGGTCTGTCCCGCCTGTCGGTGGTTTGTCTGCTGCTTGGGGTCCTTTTGAGCTGCCACCTGTGCTCGGATGCGTCGTAAGCTTTATGTTCTCAAAATCGAGGTGTTTTTGTTTTTGGTTTTTCACCCACTGCACCCCCACCATCCCACCCCCACCCTTTCTTCTCTGGTCACTCAATTCAGTTGTCAGTGTGCACGTCTTTCTGTCCTGCTTGTTCACTCATCTGTTTTACCTCCTTCCACTGCACGTCAGTGAAGTCATTCTAGTTCTGCCTTTATTTCTCTGACAAATTTCCCTTCACGTAATTGCCCCGTGTCCCCTCCGTGGCGTAGCTCGTGGCAGAACGCCGTCTTTCCCTGCGGTGAATGGTGCTCCCTGTGCGGGGCTCGTGCATCTGGTCTCGCGTTGACCCTGAGGCCGTCCGCAGGTCACCGCCGGCGTCCTGCAGTGAGCGTCACGTGTGTGCAGCTCGTCGAGCTGGCGGCTCGCTGCCCCTTGGGCGACACCCGGGGCGGGGCTGCTGGTCGGTTTGGTTCCGGGTTTGGGGCGGGCCTGTGCCGCTTCCCGGCGGCTGCTCGGCCCACGCGGCCGCAGAGGCCAGGCCCGCACACCCCGCCGAGCGCCTTGCGTCCTTGGGGAGCAGGGTCCCTCCACACTGCCCGTCGTTAGCCGGCCGGTGTGGGCTCGGGCGTCGAAGAGTTCTTGGCCGGTCTGGGGTGTCACTGCTTACCGGGTGGTGGGCAGCGCCCTGGGCCGGCCCCACGGGCCGGTGCTGTCTGTCGGTGTGCAGACGCGGCCTTCTGCTGCGCTTCGTGGTCTCAGACCTTAGTGCTGGTCTCCGGTCCGTGCCGCATTTATTTTTGTGCTGTATCCGAGTAGTCCAGTTCCGCAGTCTTGCTGTGGCTGTGCAGTGTCCCCGCACGAGGTTGAAGAGGTTTTCCTTCTGTGCTTAGTCTCTGGGCTTCTGACTGTGTCGTTGATGCACGTGTCTGCTCTCCCTAGCACCCTGCGGTTTTAAGTCCTGGTGATTCATTACGTAAAACTGAGTAACCCGATGCCTCCATTTTTCCCTTGAGATTACTTTATACAAAACCAGTGTTCGGTGGAACATACCGGTTTTCTAAAAGGGCAGGTTCATAGAGAGACTTACGAGTGCCTGTGTCTGGAAAGCAATATTGTGGAAAAGGATTTCTCAGCAGCACACAGTAGCAAGATGGGCGTGGGCGAGCCGCGGTACCGGGCGGCCGCTGCCGCTGGCGAGGGCGTGGGCGGTGGTGGCCCTGGCAGGCCCTCTGAGAGCCGAGACCTGATTGGCCCCGGTGTGCCGAACCCGCGCTGGGGCCTGGAGCAGCAGCCCCGGCGGGCGGCAGCAGCTCCCTCTCTGTTCCAGGCGATGGGCCGGATCTTCGTGGGGCTGTGCCAGGTGGGCGCGTGGGGCTGCTTCGACGAGTTCAACCGCCTGGAGGAGCGGATGCTGTCCGCCGTGTCCCAGCAGGTGCAGTGCATCCAGGAGGCCCTGCGCGAGCACTCCAGCCCCAGCCACGACAAGGGTGAGGCCGCCGGCGCCCCACGTGGGGCGGGCGGGGCGCTGTCTGGGGCCCGGGGGAGCTGCGGCGGCACGGGGCACCTGTCTGGCCCGCGCAGGCCTCCTGGAGCGGCCCCACGGCCTCTGTGGCCCTCGGTTCCCGCGTCCTGCAGCCCCAGAGAGTCAGCGGCCGCTGCTCGGCCAGTGTTCTGGTGGGCTGGGGGGCCCGCGACCAGCAGGCGTGCCTGTTGTGAGCACGCTGGGCTTGCGGGCAGGTGGGGGTCTCAGGCGGAGGTCCCGCCGCATGGTGCCCGGCTTAGCGTTCTGCTTTGCCTCTTACCCGCATGACAGTGGCTTGTTACCGAAGACGTGCCAGGCCTGAGTGGTCCCACAGGGCACGTCAGAGAAAGCAGGACTGCTGGTCTGTTGGGGGGTAGCGGGCCTCGCCCCGAGGCTGTCCGCGGGCCGGGGCTTTGTTTGGGTGCTGGCAGGAAAGGGCCATTCTCGGGCGGAGCCAGGCGTGGGGGTGCAGTCTCCGCCCCATTCAGCCTCTGTAACGCCTGCTGGGTCGTTTCTGCCCGCGAGTGGAGGTGCCAGGTCCTGTTGCGCAGACTGCAGCTCGCTGCCTCCTGCGAGCTGTCTGCTGCTCCTGGGCGGGCGGGCCAGTGCGAGTGGCCTCCCTGGGCAGGTGGCGGTGCCTGCACAAAGGCTATCGCCTGGCCCCCAAGTCCTGGGCTTCAGGCTCTAGTGGCCGGCAGGGAAGCGAAGCGTCGTGGTTTCAGAGGCGCTTGGAAATCCAGATACTTAATGCCGTCGTCTGATTTTCAGCCTCTGCCCCCATTACCTGTGAGCTGCTGAACAAGCAGGTCAAGGTGAGCCCAGACATGGCCATCTTCATCACCATGAACCCCGGCTACGCGGGCAGGTCGAACCTCCCCGACAACTTGAAGAAGCTGTTCCGGAGCCTGGCCATGACCAAGCCGGACCGGCAGCTCATCGCCCAGGTCATGCTGTACTCTCAGGGCTTCCGCACGGCCGAGGTTCTCGCCAACAAGATTGTCCCCTTCTTTAAGTGAGTAGCTGGTGCTGGCCGGCGTCAGGGGCTGCGTGCACCTGTGTGACAGTGACCTGAGTGTACCGCCGCAGCTTCCAAAGTTTGCATTGATTGCTGGACATTGGACACGCATGCTTAGCATGTATTGTTCTGAAAGAAAACCTTTCTCGCCCACAGACTGTGTGATGAGCAGCTCTCGTCTCAAAGCCACTATGACTTCGGTCTCCGAGCTTTGAAGAGTGTGCTGGTAAGTGCAGGTAACGTCAAGAGGGAGAGGATTCAGAAGATAAAGAGGGAGAAAGAAGAGCGAGGCGAAGCAGTTGATGAAGGCGAAATTGCAGAAAATCTGCCTGAACAAGAGGTGTGTTGTTTTACTCACTCAAACCTTAAGCACGGTGTAAACTGCCGTTTCCCCTTGCAAGCCGGGTCCGAAGCGCGTCCTCGGTGCCCCCGGCGCGCGCTGGGTGCAGGCAGCAGGCGAGGCGCCGGGCGGAGGGCGGAGCGGCCGCGAGACTCACGAGTCTGGGTGGGCCGGGCCCGCCCCGACTCGGCCGCGTGGCCCCGTAGATTCTCATCCAGAGCGTCTGCGAGACGATGGTGCCCAAGCTGGTGGCCGAGGACATCCCGCTGCTCTTCAGCCTGCTGTCGGACGTGTTCCCGGGAGTGCAGTACCACCGGGGCGAGATGACGGCGCTGCGCGAGGAGCTGCGGAGGGTGTGTCAGGAGATGTACCTGACCTACGGGGACGGAGAAGAGGTCGGCGGCATGTGGGTGGAGAAGGTGAGTCGGCGCCGGCGCCGCAGGGAGGGCTGCGCGTCGCCCCGCGGCCTCGCTTTTCCCGCTCTGGATTCTTTTAAGCAAAAAGCCTGTCGTTCGAGCCGCGCGCGCAGGCCCGTGGCTGCCCTGTGGCTGCCTCTTCTGGGGGTCAGCCCGTCTGTGTCCCTGAGTCAGAAGAGGGAGCATCTCGTGCTCCACCGACTGACCCCCTGGCGCATGGGGGCCCCCAGGTGACTTGCCGAGATGCTTCCCACGCTGTGGCCGGGCGCTGCTGCTCTGGGCAGAGCCCTGGGACCGGCTGCAGGAACGGCCGCCCTGCGGGCTGCACGCCGCGCTGAGACTCGCCTGAGGACCCGTCTCCGCGCGGCGCTGATGCTGGTGCGTGTGGCCGCAGGTGCTGCAGCTCTACCAGATCACGCAGATCAACCACGGCCTGATGATGGTGGGGCCCTCGGGCAGTGGGAAGAGCATGGCCTGGCGTGTCCTTCTGAAGGCCTTGGAGCGCCTGGAGGGCGTCGAGGGTGTGGCCCACATCATTGACCCCAAGGCCATCAGCAAAGACCACCTCTACGGGACGCTGGACCCCAACACCAGGGAGTGGACAGACGGGCTCTTCACACACGTTCTGCGGAAGTAAGTCCCCTCAGTGGGTCTGGCCGGTGCCAGGGCCTCAGGGTGACAGTCAGCCTGTTCCCCGAGGCTGTACGCGTTCAGCCCTAACCAGCTGCGCCCTGACCCCACCAGGATCATCGACAACGTGCGGGGCGAGCTGCAGAAGCGCCAGTGGATCGTCTTCGACGGCGACGTAGACCCCGAGTGGGTGGAGAACCTCAACTCTGTGCTGGACGACAATAAGCTCCTCACCTTGCCCAACGGGGAGCGCCTCAGCCTGCCCCCCAACGTGAGCCGCCCCTCTGTGCCCCGGGACAGCCCCTCGGGGACTCGGCCCGGCTCCCAGTCAGGGCGTCCGGTGTCAGCAGCTCCGCTGGGTGGCCTCTTTGCCAGGACTCAGTGGGAAGTGGTTTCATCGGGTGAAGTAGCTCTGTCCGTGTGCTGCCGCCCGGGCCGGGCAGGCGGCTGTTTGTCGAGGCGGATGAAAGGGCCTGTGGGGCTTTCGCTACCTTCGTGCCCTTAACGCCATTTCGGGAGCAGCCTCCGGGCAGGCAGGGAGGCACCACCCGAGCCCCGTCCCCATGATCTCCAGGCTCCCACTCCGGCTTCTCCCGGCCTCTCCTTCGGCCCAGGTGTCTGCACCCACTTCCAGGCACACGCCATGCCCGCCAGCCTCAGCCCGTGACGGCGTGCCCTGCTCACCCCCCCGAGTGCTTCCCTGACAGCATGTTGCCCCGTGTGGGCCGCAGGTCCTGGGGGACAGCGAAGCCGCAGTGGAGGCCGGCAGCAGGGGGCAGCTCCGCTGTCGCTGCATTGCCAGCTGTTGAGTGCTGTGCGCACGCGTGTCCTCAGCCCCACAGCTCCGTGACGCGTCGCGGTGGTTAGGGCTGCTGAAGCTCTTAGGCCTCTGGGAGGGCTTTTAAAGCCCCTCCTCGGACACGTGTCTGCGGGTCCCAAACACGGCCCGCTGCGTTAGGGCGTGGGGCAGACCCTCACGGATTTGCACTCACTGAGCCTCCCGTGTTGGGGTGCTGCCCCCCACGGCTCTGTCCCGCACGCTGGAAGAGCAGCAGGGCCCCGGCGCCAGCCTGCTCCCCTGGGGCTAGCTGCTGCTGCGGACGGCGGGCAGATGGGCATCGGGCTGAGGAGAAACAAGGGGGAGAGGGCGGCGGTGTTCCGGGAGGCGGAGGGGCAGGGCTTGAGGGGCTGGCGGCCAGCCGGCCAGCAGACGACGTGCAGTGCCCCGCGGCACAGGCCCCTGGGCTCCCCTGCGCCGCCCCCGTCGTCGCTGAGGCGGGCTGGATGTCGGAGCCGCGTGGACGGCGGGCGCCGTCTCGTGGACAGTTGGTCAAGCCTCCTGCCGCGTGCGTCCAGATTGCGCGTCCGGGGTCCGGCGTACTGTGAGTGACCACGACTCTCCCTCCAGGTCCGGATAATGTTTGAAGTGCAGGACCTGAAGTACGCCACCCTGGCCACGGTGTCGCGCTGCGGCATGGTCTGGTTCAGCGAGGACGTGCTCAGCACCGACATGATCTTCAACAACTTCCTGGCCCGGCTGCGCAGCATCCCCCTGGACGAGGGCGAGGAGGAGGCGCAGCGCCGGCGCAAGGGCAAGGAGGACGAGGGCGAGGAGGCGGCGTCCCCCATGCTGCAGGTGGGCCCTCGGCCATGGCTGCCGCTCCCCGGGGGGCTGAGTGCGGGCCTGTCCCTGCCCCCCGGGCCGGGCGCTCGCGGGGGGCCGTGGTCAGTGCAGCCCCCGAGGGCACTGCCTGGAGAAGCCCAGGCCGCTTCGGTTACATGTTCCACTGCGATGCGGCAGGCCCGCCCTTTCGGCTGTCCCCCAGAAGCAGGAGTCCTGACAGCTGCCAGGGTGGGGGCGTGGGGGTGCTCCTTCTCTCTTTTCCAGTGCACGTTTATTTCCGAGGACACGTGACCCTCTCCCAGACCTGGGTTGGAGAAGCTGAAGCTCCCCCAGGCGACTGGCACGGGAGTTAGGCGTCCTGTGCCCTCCCGCAGATCCAGAGGGACGCGGCCACCATCATGCAGCCGTACTTCACGTCCAACGGGCTGGTCACCAAGGCCCTGGAGCACGCCTTCAAGCTGGAGCACATCATGGACCTGACGCGCCTGCGCTGCCTGGGCTCGCTCTTCTCCATGCTGCACCAGGCCTGCCGGAACGTGGCCCAGTACAACGCCAACCACCCCGACTTCCCCATGCAGATAGAGCAGCTGGAGCGCTACATCCAGGTCGGGCGGCTCGTGGGCGCCAGGGCCAGCTGTGGGCAGGGAGGCGGCGGGGTCCACGCCCACGAACACCGGGGTCCCCCTCTTCACGGGCAGGGGCAGCCGTGCCGGGGTGTCTCACTGTCAGAATTCTGGGGGAAAACGGGACTTCCTTCCTGTCTCGGTAGCGGTACCTGGTGTACGCCATACTGTGGTCCCTGTCTGGAGACAGTCGGCTGAAAATGAGAGCGGAGCTGGGCGAGTACATCAGGAGGATCACCACAGTGCCCCTGCCTGCCGCCCCCAACGTTCCCATCATCGATTACGAAGTGAGTGCAGCCTCCCGCCTCCCTGCCCTGCGCCGTGGCTCCGTCTGGCCCTCGGTGCCCTCTGCGACCTGCCCTCGAGCTTGTGCGGATCCGCGGGAAAGTTGTGGCTTGTGTCCAGCAGAGCGAGGCTCCGTGAGCAGCACGGGTCTCGGCTGACCCGGCCCTCCCTGTGCAGGTGTCCATCAGTGGGGAGTGGTCGCCGTGGCAAGCCAAGGTGCCCCAGATCGAAGTGGAGACGCACAAGGTGGCTGCCCCTGACGTCGTCGTGCCCACCCTGGACACCGTCCGCCACGAGGCCCTCCTGTACACCTGGCTGGCCGAGCACAAGCCGCTGGTTCTGTGCGGGCCCCCGGGGTCTGGAAAGACCATGACGCTCTTCAGCGCCCTGCGGGCCCTGCCCGACATGGAGGTAAGGCGGCTCGCGGGGGCCGCGCGGCCTGGGTGCCCCGGGGGGCCAGGCCCCGCAGGACGTGGCTGGCATCTCCCTCGTGCAGGTCGTGGGCCTCAACTTCTCGAGTGCCACTACGCCGGAGCTCCTGCTGAAGACTTTCGACCACTACTGCGAGTACAGGCGCACGCCCAGCGGCGTGGTCCTGGCCCCCGTTCAGCTTGGGAAGTGGCTGGTCTTGTTCTGTGACGAAATCAACTTGCCAGACATGGACAAATACGGGACGCAGAGGGTCATCTCCTTCATCAGACAGGTGGGCTCGCGCCCCAAGCCCTCCCCCGCGGTCCCGGCCGCAGCTGCTCCTGACGTGCCCCCTGCTCCCCGCAGATGGTGGAGCACGGAGGCTTCTATCGGACCTCAGACCAGACCTGGGTGAAGCTGGAGAGAATCCAGTTTGTGGGGGCTTGCAACCCCCCCACGGACCCCGGAAGAAAGCCCCTCTCGCACAGGTGACCGACCACCTCG